TATACTTCAAATATAAAAAGATAAAGCTTTAGAAAAGTACATTTTGTTTATATTATGTTATGAATTCTACAATTTTTTATTTATATAAAACAACAATGAGTAAATATTTGTTTATTTGAAGATTAATTGTAGTTAATTACCTATTATAATTTTTTTTAGCAATTACCCTTTGATAGATTAGGGGGTAGATTTGGCAATTGTCAAATCAGCAGTTGCCACATTACAAAAGGTGTTTGCAATTAATCTCGAAAGAGACAAATATCTACTCGTTATTGTTTCATGAATTAAAAATTGCAGAATTCATAAAATAGTATAATCAAAATGTACTTTTTAAAAGCTTTAACTCTTTCTATTTGAAGCATACAACATATGCATTATAAAAACATGCCAACACTGCCAAACCGAAATATTTTTGATATTTGCGGCTATATTTAGCTTGTACTTTCGGTAAACTCAACGTTACTAAACAAATTTGCTATATTTTGGGAATATCATAAGATTGGGAATATCATATTATCATAAGTTATATAGGTACTCATATTTCATTGTGTTTGGCAAATCAAATTATTTTCTTTTATTATTTACATAATTTCAAAAATCTTTTTTGTCATACATAACAGTTTGTACCTACATTATTTAGGTGAATCTGATGCCATGTTTTGTAACAATCCTTAATTTCTTGACGCAAATTAGAAAAAAGATTATAATCCTTCTTATATCCGTTCATTTTGTATTTTGCATGAGCAATCTTCTTTTGAAATATGTTTAAATGAGGAGTGTACCATTTCGGAAATTTTGAGTTTTTTCATTTAGTTTTTGGTACAAAGAGATTAATACAGGAATGTAACACTTCATAAAATTTATCAACGCTATTATTTACATCTGTCTCATCAATAATCCCGTCACAGTCGACTGAACCTAAATATTCATTAATAAGGATATAATTTGCATTTTTAAAGTCAAAATAGAAATAATCATAGCTATAGTGTATTTTTATGTATGAGAGAGTAATAAAACAATAAATTATGTATGCAAATCCCTAAACTGTTGATACGGGTGACTCAATGAAAAACAGATATTTTTCAACAAGTTTACAGAAGTATATAGGAAAACAATTTTAAATTGAGTATGACCACCAGGTATAAAGGTTGGAGCAGAATAGAATACAATAGTTGTGAGGGTTACTAATCCCCAAATAAGGTTGCCAGTGTCGGAGTGATGGAGGTTAACAGGTACTAATGAATTTGCAAGAAATGTAAGATGTTTATTTTATTGGTTATATATAACCAATAAAAGTTTAATAAGTACCTACCTATTTGCAAAATAAAGTTTAATTCTTTAGATAAAATAAAACGTTTTATTTTATCCGAAATGAGTGCATTCCACGAAGTAAGGGTTTCAACAATCAAACATTTAATTCTTTAATTCCAGGAATCTACGACAGTAATTGACTAGATAATTACCTTCTAAACTTATTCCACAGAAAATGTGATAGTGGGTTTTTCCATTTTGTAGGAAGGTCCAAGTGGCGTATTCAAAATTCTTAACTGTTCACTAAAAGTAGGTACTTCAGTTGCAAGGTGCAGTTTATCGTGTATACTAGTGTAATGGAAAATTTGGAAGTGCCGTGTAAACGCCGAAAAATTGGTCCTTTAACAGTTAATGAAGAAACATTAATATTTAATTGTTTTAAATCATTTACAGACAAACGTTTATGTGAAAGTGTTGATGAGACCGTTGAGTTAGTTAGCAGTACACTTGGTGTTGGGAAATCTACGATTTACAGAGTTATTAAAGAAGAGAAATGTGGTAGTTTTCAAATGCCACGTAATGCTCCAGGGAAACCAAAATTTCAAATAGAATATCATTTTAAAGAAGGACTTCGACGGAAAGTGCATGAATTCTTCTTTAGACAAGAATTTCCAACATTGGATAAAGTTCTTGTCTCAGTTCGAGATGATAAGGATTACCCAGAAATGAGTCGAAGTACGTTATGGAAACTTTTAAAAGAAATAGGCTTCCGCTGGAAAAATAATCCCAGAAAGTCTATTTTATTAGAAAGAAGCGATATTGTCATATGGAGAAGACATTTTCTAAGAACCATAAAGGAAATGAGAAACCAAAAAAGAAAAATATTTTATCTTGATGAAACATGGATCAACGAGGGTCATACACCAAATAAATTTTGGCAGGATGAAACTGTTACAAGTCAAAGGCACGCTTTTGTAAATAACTTATCTACTGGTTTAAACCCACCATCAGGAAAGGGACGCAGGCTGATAATAGTACACATTGGCAGTTCAGACGGTTTTGTTGAAGGTGGTTTATTAACTTTTGAATCAACTCGTACCGGTGACTACCATGAAGACATGAACGCTGATGTCTTTCATGAATGGTTCGAACAAATGATAGATCTTCTTCCTAGCAGAATTGGCTGAGTTCAAAAAATATTACGTACCATCCCGGATCTATAAGAAAGGAACTTTATTCGTTTTGTGCCCTTCATAAAGAAAAATTTTAAAAATACGAAATTGATGAAATTGCCAAAAATCGTGGAATGACAGTACTTAGATCCCTACCATATCATTGTGAATTAAACCCGATTGAACTGGTATGGGCACAGATAAAGAGTGAAGTTTCAAGAAAAAATACCACTTTTAAAATTCATGATGTTAAACAGTTGTTTTTGGAGGCCGTAAATAATGTAAAACCTGAAAACTGGGAAAAAGCAGTAAATCACACTATTAAAGAAGAGGAAAAAATGTGGAAGCTGGACAATATTACTGATAAAATGATCGAGCCATGTTATTATAAATCTTTGTTCTGAAAGTTCATCTTCTGAATCTGATTTGGATTTGTAACAAGTAGCTGTAAGTTTAATATTAATAATTTTATTCATATATTTAACATACCTTAGACGGTTTTAAAAACTCTTTTTCTCTTTTGTAATTTTTAAAAATTAAAAAAAATGTGAATTTTTTAAAACCCTTTTTAATGTAGGCCAGTCAGTTCTAATATAGTGTGTGATAAAAGCGGTCACTTTTGTTTACATACACATAACACTTTATAACACTGAAATAATTCATTTATTTTTTACAATTATTCAAAGTAATTTTTCAATTAATCTTGAGCACGCCCATGGAGTGGTCGAAGGTACCAGTTAAAATTATGCTAATTACTCTCTCGTTCATAAAAATAAACTATAAGAGAGTCTAAAATACCATTTCAAATAATATCAAAGGACAAGGCTGGATGATAACTATCACATTTTAATGAAGATTGATCAGAAATTTTTAAGTCCATATTTTTTATACTAGAAAAAATAAGATCTAAAAAACCCCATTATAGTTTGTTACATTATTTAATTGAAAGAAATTTAAAAAAGCAAAACTTTCTGAAATACATTCAACTTTAGGTAAAAAGAAATAAAATAAGACTTACTCACAATCAATTTAATTATACCACCCACGACGTGTTTCGCATACTACGTACTACAATTTGCATAGAACACTACAATTTGCGTAGCAACTTGTAGTATGTAGTATGCGAAACAGGTCGTTGGTGGTATAATTAAATTGATTGTAAGTCTTATTTTATTTCTTTTTACCTATTTACAACGGACTCACACAGGCAACATATTCATAACATTCAACTTTGTTAATAATATTTCCAATCGGTCTTGAACCATATTCATCGTTTTCGCAATGAATATTAGTTAGGTTAAAATCACCAAGTAGATATACCAAACTGTACTGTGTTTCATATATAATATCTTCTACACAATTTATATAGTCTTCATACAAACATAATGGAGAGTTTGGAGGTAAATAAAGACATCCCATAAGACACTTTTGTTTTCCAAATAAAAGTTTAACAAAAATACATTAAATGTTTTTAAATTGATGATTTACTAAAACTGAAGAAATATCTCTATTGATCGCTATAAGAACTTCTCCAAGTCGTTTACATACTGGTTAAGCTTGATCCATCACAGCGGTATATATTGTACTGTGAGATGCCTAGTTCATTACTCTCCATACTATCACATAATGAGGTTTCAGTAAATGTCATTATATCATAATTATTCGCTGTTACCGATTCAGAGAGGGTATTTAGTTTTGTCTCTAGTCCTCTAAAATTTTGATAATAGACACTGTAATAGCCATTTGATGCACATGTTCCTCCAGATGGTCGTCTTATTGGGGAAAATTTTGTGGAATATTCGTAGATTTGTTCCCACCATCAGAAGAAGACGGATCAAGAATAACATCATTGTTATTTCTTTAAGTTGCCTTTCTTTTTTATGTTAAATCGTCTTGGAATAATTCCATCTGGCCAAAATTCCGCACAAATCATTGCATCATTGTACTTAAAGTCAACCCCAATTTTGAACGAATTAGTTCTTCCTATAGTTTTAAGATAAAGGCATTATCATTACCTGCTTTTAATGACATTTTATCAGTTATATATTTGCTTATAATATTTACATTTATTGCGGTTTGAGTGATAATTTAAATATTTGTTGGTGTGGGTTGGTTTTTTGTAGACTTTGGTTACAGATCCTATATCCTCTTTTGTGATTAACATACCCAGAAAAAGGTAATTGTTGTTCTAACAAAAAAGTTGTTGTTTTCTTTTCCATGGTAAATTTGATTCTTCTTTACAGTTATTATCCATCACAAATGTTTTCAGTGCGTCTGGTCCATTAAGCCAAAAGGAGAACACATCTACATATTTCACAATACTGTATACTATGTTCTGCTCAAATTGTTCCATAAAAATATCTGCTAATAATGATGACAATGAAGGGTGCACGGCTAATCGAAAATCTCTTTTATAAAAATGGTCGTCTAATTGAAAATAGGTGTGCATCATGTTAATAGCTCCATTATAGCTTATAGCACCTATATATTTTCAATTAAACAACCATTTAATAAACAAGATTTTGTAATTTTCTTTAATAATATTGAGCTATTTTACATTTTTTTTTGTATTTGTAGAACCAAAAATCACCCCAAACACTACTTATGGTCTAAACCATGGCCCAAAGCTCATTTGCCAGAAAAATATAAGTCCGAGTTGCAAGACATCAAGCCCAAGATAGAAAATGACGATCCGGAGTTTTTGAAAAACGATTTCGACGAGGAAAAAGATGCTCAGAACGAAAACTCAATGCTGATGATGATTCTGAAAGCAGGTGAGACAATATCAATAGCGAATGTTGTATCTTAGTTCTACTGTAGGTTGCTACAAAAATATTTCATGGAGTGCACCATTTGTTGAATTCTATTATAGTTATGTTTTTTTAAACAGTAATGTTTTTTATTTATATGATTGTTATTATTTACGCAGGAAAAAACGTAATGCCAAAAATCGACCTAAACACTCTTATGGATAACTCTCCTATCATTCCACAACCCGAAGCTGTTACGGACGCTGCCGATTGTCGCTTGAATCTTTTGGAACATTTAGTTCATCAATGTTCCCAGGTGGAAGAGAGGCTAGACGATTTCGAAAAACAGATAGAGTTGTTGGAGGAAGGAATGACCGTTGAAGAAGATCCGAATTGTCCCAGAACGAGAAACACCATGCAAATGTTAATCAGAGATTTAGAAACCCTAAAAGAATTTAGTCAAAGTTCTGCAATATAGTTTTTTTAGAGTATTCTATGTTATATTCTAGAGTATTATATTCTTGTATACCAGTTTGAATAATTTTGTTGTTACGAAAATTGATTTTTGTCATTTTAGGTTACTAGATGTTACACTTACGTTTTGTGATATATTGAAATAAAATTTTTAATACATTGATCTTTATTATTTTTTTAACCATATTTGTTTTGTGATACACTTTGAAGAAAACAAAAAATCTAAAACAGCAATTAGAGCAGTTGCCTTTGCTAACGATCCCAAGATATGAGATTCATAAATATATCGAAATAAAAGCTGCACAGAAAACAAACCATGAGCCAGTGAACAACCACTGTATGAGTATAAACATCCTACTAGTAGCAGAGATACTTACAAAAATACTGCACTACTAATAATTATTTTCATACCAAAAATCCAAGTATACTCGGTTCGCCGACCCTCGTTCTAACTGCCTTTAGTAATTATTTTTTGCTACATTTTAGTGGAATGTTGACCAAATAGCAATGGGTGGAAATTACTATAGAACATCCCAGAGGTACTTTTCAGTGCGTCACAGTTTTTTTGATTTCTTTCTAATGCATTAAGTTGGATGTGACGGAGAAAGCGGTAGTTCGGTGATTAAACAGAACTATATTGCAGCGTTAGAATAAGCTTACATATATAAGAGGTTCTTTCCTAACCTACGTTTGATTTCTCACTTCACATCGTAGCGACATTAATTTATCGAAACACACTTGTGCCCTAGCACAACATGCGATAAATACAAAACATGAAGTGGATTTCAATGAAGTTAAGATCCTTGCCACTGAACGCAATCTAGCTAAAAGACAGTTTTTGGAAATGTGTTCAATATTAAAACACCCTAATGCGTTGAATAAGAGAACTGCCATAAGTAACTTGAGTCAAATATATCATGCTTTAATTTTGCAGAATTAGGCTACTTGATCTTTTCACTACACTAATGTCATATTAGGTGTACTAGTTGAACCTTTTTTCATTTTTCATAAAATAATTTATATACATAAATAGAAATAAAATAAATAAATATATCAATAAAATAACTTAATATTCTTTACTTAATTTTACTATTACATATGCAACCTACATTGCATTTCAATACACTAATTACTTTAATTAGTGTTACCAATTTTATATTAAAATAATACAAATATTGTAATTGATTCATAGAATCCTTTGCAAATCACAGTTCCAAGTATATTGAACCTTGGGCTGTTTGGAAATTATCAAAGCGTTAACCACCTGTGGCTGTTTAACTAGCCATAATGATTAACGTCATTACATACTTATGAGGTTGAATGAAAATCTCCTGTTTGTAAATTTGGGCTGATTAGTGAGGGGAGTTGTTTTTACACTACCAACTTTTTTCACTGTGTTGTCCTTTGCAACCGGGTAGTCATCCAAACTCATTTAAACTTAAATTAACCGCCCAAAATTTGGGTTGGTATCTACACCTTGTTGATCTGTCAAAAGTATTTTTGACCTCAAGGTTGGCTTTGTTGGTTTGGTCTTTTTGCGGTTTAGTTCGTTCCTGTTTCATTAAACGCCATTTTCTCGGCGACCTTCATAGGGCTTTGATCGGTAACTTCATTTTTACTACTTTTTAAAATTTTATTAATATCACTTATAATGCTACCTAAAGTTAAAATCAAAGCTTAATATCCATTAAATAGTTGGAAGTTATTTATGATTTTCTTGGTTCTTACTCACTTATTAACATTAAATAACACTGAATTTACTTTAGACCACATGGTCATTTGCTGTGCTAATTTTTTACAAGTTCATATATGTTGTTAGTTGCTTAACTGTTTATACAAGATCATCGTATTATGTCCATTTACTTAGTTTCATTCACATGTTTGTTAATAACATTGACTGCTACATATCTTTTTAAGGTAACAATTAACATCGTTTCCATGATTGTGTGGTTCTCATATTGTAAAATTTTTTAGATGAACTGATGATGCTTTCAAAACTCGAAAGCGAAACGTCTTCAAAATAGATAAAGTAGCCTATCAACTTTGTCTTTTATTTCTCCACCTAGAGACCGATATAAGAACCCACCACTCGTCTGAGTGATCTTTATATATATATATATATATATATATATATATATATATATATATATATATACAATGAATACTGGATATTCGTGACTGTCACTTTACAGCCCCAATAAACTTTGTTGTTTGTTTATATATATATATATATATATATATATATATATATATATATATATATATATATGTATATATATATACACTCGGAAGACATATTAAGTAAGGCACTGGATTAACGAAACAAGATACAAAAATTCAATAAATGAATCATTTTGTCGTCAATTTCAAATGTTTCCATATTTATAAATTACACACACACCACAATATTGTTTACTATTTATTTTTATTAATATACGGGATTACCCCCTGTGGCTAAGTACGATCCTGGCATCTGTCAGATTCTTCAATAATTATATGAAATAATTCTCGACACACCTAATTCATTATATGACGTCATAATTAATGACGCATTGATAAGTACCTCTGGGATGTACTTTATACAACAAATAAAATTCATCAATTAAAACTCAAGTTTATTTTTGAAATTTTAAAGTCGTTTATAGGTTATTATTTACAAATGAAAAGTTTTTCATGAAAATTAATGAATATATACTACCATTCTTCATGATTATTCTTCTTTTTTCGATATAAGAAATCTGCAACAGTAAGTTTATTTGAGCTATTAATACAATAAAAACATATCCGAGAGCAGATGTTCCATCAGATCATAATCTTTTATTAGGACGTTTCAAACTCCACATGAAAAAAGTCCATAAAAGAAAAGCACAAAAACGTCCGGACAGCCAGAAGTTAAATGATAAAACCACAAAAAACGAAGTCAAAGAGGAAATAAACAGCATGGTAATCTCAGATATTAATAAAGAAAAAATACGCGTGGATGATATGTGGAATAAAATCAAAAATATCTGTAATTCAGTGGTAGATAACAAACTTAAACCAGAAAACAATATAACGAAACAGCCGTGGATGAGACAAGAAATATTAGAGCTAATGGAAGAACGAAGATAACACAGAAATAAGAATGGGGTAAGGTACAAAAAAATAAACAAAATCATTCATAAAAAGATTAAAGAAGCAAAATAATCATGGCTACAAGATCAATGCATAGAAATATAATCCTTAGAACAGAAGCATGACACTTTTAACCTACATATAAAGGTCAAAAACTTAACGGAAGGAAACGGATCACGAAGTCATAACTTTACTAGACGAGCACAACAATCTGCTCTACGAAAATGAGAGAATACTAGGGAGATGGAGACAATACATGGAAGAATTATTCAAGGAAGAACAAGAGACAGAAGTCAGTGTTTCTGGATGTTTAGAATCAGAAATAACGCCCAGTGAAGTAACATATGCAATAAAAAGACTAAAAACCAACAAAGCACCTGGACCTGATAACATACAAGCTGAAATATTGAAACTATATTACGTTACGTTTTGTAGAAATTAATGACAACGAATTAAAAATTAAGGAGCATTTCATTAGCTACTAAGAAGTTTAAGAATCAACAGACTACAGAATGATTTTCAATTTTGTTAGACTTGTTATTCAATGTATTTAAATAATGTTTTTAATATATCACAATCTTGTTCTGAATATTTTGAAAATTATCCTTCCCATGGTTTTGAAAAATGCTTGGTAGTCGCGAGAAAGCTAGTTGAAGAGTATGTACTAAACCGATCTTTATACAAAAGTATTATAATACGTTATGCTGTTCCATGGGTTGCATCACATGTAAGCAAATAACTATTGTATTATTGGTTAACACATTGCTTGCTGTCTCAGTCTATGTGACCGAGAAAAAAATTGCCTTGTACGGCAGCGAGATCTATTGACCGAGAATTTTAATGTAACTGTGGTGCCGGCGTGGTCAATATGGCGTGAACGGACAGTATTACAAAATCCCCTACGGCAAGCAACTTAAATAATTACATTTTTATACAGTTCTTTATTGTGTAATTTTGCTTTTTCGCCTGTTTTACTATTTTTTTTTAAATTTGCAGTAAATTTGTATATTCTTGTATGAAAGGGCGCCAAATTTCAGTTTGTTCGGGGCTTTTAAAACCCTAGAGCCGGCCCTATTTTAACCTCAAAATCTTTCTTCTCTTCTTTGTCAACCATTTTCCAACCACTCCTGAATGTAGGTATCTCCCAATTGCTTCCATCTTTCTCTATCTTGCGCCAATCTAATCCACTGTTTGCCTGCCACTGCTCTTATGTCATCTACCCATCTTTTTTGAGGTCTTCCCATGCTTCTTGTTGTCGTCCTTGGTCTCCATTCTAGAATTCTCCGTGTCCACTTGTTGTCATTATATCGGGCTACGTGACCTGCCCAGCTCCATTTCATTTTTGTAATTTCTTCCACAATATCCCTAATCTTCGTTCTACGTCTTATCTCGGTGTTTCTAATCTTGTCTCTTAGTGATATTCCAAGCATGATTTGTTCCATTGCTGTTTGCGTTGTTTCTAATTTTTTAGCAGATTTTTTGGCAAGGGCTACTGTCACCAAGCCGTAGGTACAAACTGGTAGTATGCATGTGTTATACACATTTTTCTTTAAGTTTATAGAAATGAAGGTGTTTTTCAAGATATGTGCTAGTTTGCCGAAAGCGCCCCATGCCAGTTGTGTTCTTCTTTTAATTTCAGCATCTTGATTTGTTTTCCTAGTTTGATAACATGACCTAGATATACAATTAATGTTCAACATTTTCTATGGTATGATTTTGGATTGCTATATTTGTCTGGTCTCGGCTCAGTATTTTTGTTTTGCTGTAGTTCATTTTTAAGCCTACCGCTCCTGAAACTGCATTTAATTGTTGTAACATATCATTTAGTTCTTGGATATTATAGGCTATTAAAACTATGTCATCTTCGAATCTCAAGTGATTTAAAAGTATGATCCGTTGAAGTTGATAACCTTATTGTTCCATTCCAGTTTCTTAAAAATATCTTCTAGAGCAAGGGTAAATAGTTTGAGAGAGATGGTGTTTCCTTGTCTTACTCCACGTTGTTTGTAGTCTTATGGGATTAGTTCTTGTGCTTTCGTCCAGCTTTATCTGCATGGTGGCATTTTCATACATGTTTTTAATTATGTTAGTGTATCTTGAATCTATGCGTGCATTTTCTAGAGATTCAAGCATTGCCTATAATTCGATAGAATCGAATGCTTTATGGAAATCGACGAACGCCATATGAATTGGAACATTATACTCGGTGCATTTTTCTATTAGTGTTCTTATGGTCTATGGTATTAAAATGTTTTCTAAATCCAGCCTGCTCGATGGGTTAATAGAAATCGAGCTTATGTGTTAGGCGGTTGGTTATTATTTTAGTTAGTAATTTATATAGATGTGATAGCAAGGATATTGGTCGGTAATTCTTGATGTTTGCTTTGTCTCCTTTCTTGAAAAGTAAAATGACTTCAGAGTTGTACCATTCTTGAGGTATCTTTCCTTCATCAATTCTTCTTCTTAAAGTGCCTATCCGTTCCGGATGTTGGCGATCATCACGGCTATCTTTACTTTGTTTACTGCAGCGCGGAACAGTTCAGTGGTAGTCGTGTTATACCACTTTCGTAAATTTTGAAGCCAGGAAATGCGTCTTCTTCCCGGTCCTCTCTTACCATTTACCTTCCCTTGGAGAATCAGCTGGAGAAGGCCGTAACGTTCTTGATTTCTCATTACATGTCCTAGATATTCCAAATTTTTAGTTTTGACGGTCATGAGAATTTCACATTCTTTTCCCATTCTACGCAGGACCTCCACTACTTTAACTCTGTCAACCCAGGATATACGTAAGATACGCCTATAACACCACATTTCGAAAGTTTCGAGCCGATTCATAGATGCAACAGTCAGTGTCCACGCTTCCATTCCGTAGAGCAGAACTGTGAATATGTAGCAATTCAATAGACGGCATTTTGTTTTTAATGATATGTCTCGACTGTTGAAAATGGTTCTCATTCTAACGAATGCTGCTTTTCTTTTTATTATTCACTGTTTAATTTCTGAGTGATCCCATTGGCTATTTAAATTGGTGCCTAGATATGTATATTGCTGGACTCTTTCGATATTCTGTTGGTTGATTATAAGTTGAGCGTTTAGTATTGATTTTTTACTAATTGTCATAAATTTGGTTTTCTTTATGTTAAGAGCTAGTCCGTCTTCATCCGTCCTGTCACTTCATCAATTACTTTATTAAATAAAATATTTAATACCTGTTCCATTTTTCTGCCACCAATTTTCAACATTTCAACTGTAATCTTATCCTCTCCCGGACATTTATTCGTTTTTAGTTGATTTAGGGCCATTCCTATTTTATAGTCGGTCCTCAAAATCAGTATTGTATTATATATAATAATTTTTTGGCAGATGAACTAGTACTTTAACCAGTACTGTGATGGTTTCCATGGCACTCGTGAGATCTTCTTGTACTGTGCCTGTTTTTATTTTTGTAGTTTTACTTTCTTTTCTGTAAGGTGTAGGCATGTTGACGTGACAAATATACTTGTAAATGACTACACAACTACTATAAACACGAGTGAAAGATGGAAATATTATTCTCTGTTGTGTATGTAGAAGAAACGTATAGCGTTGCGCTCTTGACAGCTCCAAAGTATCGAGAACGCATGTTCACTCAATAATGTTTTTGACTGACATTTCTTTATAATATATTCGGATGGTTATTTCTAAAGGAAGGTGATGTAAAATCAAACAAATATTTCAAAAACCAAAAGTTATTATATAGTACCTAACTGATGGATAGGGGCAAAGATTTAAAATTATTCAGCTGAAATGTCTGGACAACATTATTTGTTCCAGAAAAGAAATGAAGAAGTAGAAACTGGTGAAAACTTTTTATGACCTCTCTCTTATATAGATGAAAATTAAAAATAGTTTACTCAAAATGTCGGTGATTTAAACATAAAACATACGGTGGGCCAAGTCACATTGTGCAAATATGCTGTCATGCGCTGAATCAATTATATAGGCCAGGATGTTGAAACACAAAAATGCACACAAAACGCAGTTGAACATATTTGTATGCTTCGTGACAAATAGTTTCGATATTGTGGAGATTTTATTTACTCTTCCTTTCCTGTTATCTCCCAACTAATTATATTAGTTCTCTATTTGTTTTGTTTTTCGCTCTGTTAGTATTATACGACTAATTTTTCCTTAGAATTACTTTCAATGGGCATTTTTAATTGAACCAGTCTGAGCTTATTGTCTCACGTTTTTAACGTCCAAAATCTTTTGGTTGCTTTTAATATCTTCTGTTGCTAGGCTCTACACTTTCTCCAATAATTGACAACATCTTCACAATATAAATTACTGGGACTGCCAGCATTAGTTGGAAAGCTCCTCTAATATTCTTTGATGTCCCAAAGTTTTTTAACGCTTCTACATTAAAATTTTCTCCTTTCCTTTCTTTGCATTTTTTAAATTTAAAATTATAACTTTTAAGTAGTGTTCGATGCGAGTTTACTATGCTCCAAGTGTATTATTTCACGGCTTATTACTTTTTCGTCCCTGTTTTAGTATTTCCTGGATAAATATCAACAAAAAAAAATAATAATAATTTTCTTAATATCAATTTATTTTTATATATGTCTAATATTTATATTCATACTAATCTACTGATTTAAATAAATTAAAATAATAAGAACAATTATTATTTAAATATACATATAAATAAAAATATAAATCCTGAGTCAAACTTAAAGGCGAATTATAAACGGATATGAATACGTGGATATCTTATGTTCTTCAGTCTTTAATAACAATGTTACATTTAATTTTCGCTCAGTTCCTCGTTTAATATATTTCTACTTCTTCCTAACCTCTTAATTTCGTTACTGGAAGTATTTTCAGGCAGTTCACAAATAAAGTTGTATCTGATAGAGCAATCTGATCCTTTGTAACTGTAGGAACGAAGCGCCGCGTTATATGCTAGCCGCAAACAGCGACCTTCTCCTTGAATAGCCGACGAAGGATTGTCTTTATTGGTATGAGATCCAGGTGCAGCCACTGGTCGTGCACTATTACTCCATATCCAGAGAAGACCAGGATTTAGACCACCAACCCAAAAGTCTCTGCCTACAATAATAAATTATATTGAATATTTTATTACGTTCACAGTTTGTAACATTTGTACAATACAATAAAATACAATACAACACAACTCCAATAGAAATTGGAGCTGTGTTATATAAAATGATGTTAAGGTTTCTTGATTATTTGTACTAATTATATCTTAAAACTGTATTTATTTCTGCATACTAGGACACTGCTTTGTTTACAATATCGTCCGGTAAGTATAAACATTAACTATTTACTAAGACTAATGACTTACGCTAACATTGTGAAACGCACAGTTCTAATACGTACCTACTACAACTAAATATGTACCATATTTATGCTTATAAATATCCAAATACATCAATACGTACATCAATACTGCCCAGCTAAGGAAAAATGCAGTAAGTAACAGTAGTAGGATTTTGAGAAAACTCCACTTGTAGTTTAGAATAGAAGGATGCAGTAATTTTCAATATGATAATATTGCAGTTGTTGATTGTTTATTCTTCAAGTACATTTATGTTAAATACAAATAAAAAATTTTAATCTATAATTCTAATTTTTAACGCAAAAAGATGAAAATACATAATTATGACGTACATATTCGTATATTTCTTAATAGTTTGTTATATAATCTTTGATTGACATTAATAAACAATATACAGTGTTACGAATGGATTAACTTAACATATTTTTTAAAAATATAACCAACACTTTCACATAAGTAGATGGAATGTCACAATAGGTTCAGTCTTTTGGCTGAGATGAATAAATAGTCAAGTCTTTCCAAAATTATTTTCAATTTTCTGGCAGTACTTCGTTTTTTTTGTAAGAACTTGAGTTGCTGGTAGGGGCTCATTACGTCATAGTTTCTCTTGCGCAACAAATGCTCGTTCATCTTTAATATTAACTATGTCACTTAAGTACAAATGTGGTGGTGATTTTGGCTTTTGTTGTGACACGAAATTGGGCCAGTACCTACTAGAAATCAAAATATTGCATTTTGTATACATTGACATTTCCAGATTTAAATTTTTTCACTGCAGCAACAAAGTCTTCAAAATCATAAGTTTCCTTTTAAGCCTTTAATGATTGCTCTAATTGATGGTGAAAATTGTCTGCACTGATGAATGAATGACCAGGTTGGAAATAATTTAAAGGCACCAGCTTTTGTTTTGGGAAGAGCAGTTGTCTACCCAAAGAACAACTTTTGCAAAATCTCTGTGTTGTTTTCAAAAACATGTACAACGCACTAACATTGTCTTCTTTATTGCGGCCTGAAATTCCTCCATGACACATCATGGAGTGAACTTTTTCTTTACTTTTTCTCTATACAGGTGCAAATGTTTCATGATAGGCTACCAAAACATATTACAATATTTGATCTTTCCTCATCAGAAAATCTTTAATATGCGTTTCTTGCTTCTATAACTAATTCGTTATGAACTTTCCATTGCTTACAAATATTACACGATATATCAAGATTTTCTTTTTTTTTTGTCAACCACTAAATAAGACTTCAGTAAGTCCAGTATACTAAGCATAAACGCAGTATGTGCAAAGGAGTTACTGCATTCTTGGTTTGTCTATTATACTTACGGCAGTCTTACTTTTTTGAAACTTTTGCTCTTTTGAAAAAAATCTTTTATATCTCAATCACTGTTGGAGATACGGCAATTTTGAGTAGCCGATTGAATTTTGCATGGTTCAAAATGTAGGAAACCATATAACTCAATATTCAACGGCAGTTTTCCTTAGTTGGGCAAAATACTTACGTTCAATTCGGTGTCATGGATATTTAAATATTAAACATATTTCTCTTCATATTAATAATATAATCATTTCTATTATAACTTAAGAATATTATCCGTTTTAATACTTAGAAGTTAGGACCATAGCACATAGTTTCTTATTAAGATTTGTTAGTGAATGGCCGATAGCTTAATAGTATGATCAGATATGTCTTGCGGATATGTGACATTTATTAATCCTTACAGAAATATGTTGAAAATATAAAAAATATGTGAAATATGAAAATATGAAAAGAAAATATAGGTACATAAGCAATGTATGCAATTGTATTTCTAAATAGAGGTTTGATAAATTATTACTATTAGGCTGGTATTTATACCCTATCGATCATTCAAAATAACGAATAAAATAATAAATAAAAGTGAAACATTGAAACAGTGAAACATCTAGAAGTGTGTACCTTAGATGTAGCATTTTTAACAGTCTAGTGAGTGAAACTCTGAGGCGAATTTTCAAAAGAAGACGCGAAGAGAAACATTACAAATTAGAAAAAGAAAAACTTTTTAACTATATAATATAATCCATAATCATTTGAAACTTTGTAAACAAATAGATTTATGTTAAAGCTTTATTGAGAACCTATGTAGCAAGAAACTTACATTGAAAGTTTAAAATATTACTAGAACATTACCTCTTAAATGTTGTGTTGCTTGAATAAAGGTAACCAGGTCTTGATTATCTTCAATACTCTCCATTTCAGCTAGGAATCCACCGATTTTCTTACAATATTTACTAGCTGCTTTCCAGTCAAGTTCTCTACCTGTTGCACTATTGAAATGATAACAGTCGTGTCCAACTTTTGTATAATTGGTCCGACAAGGCTCTAAAACAGTAAATCACAATCAAAAATACTAAGATATAGGTGGTTCCCTTTATATAACATAATTTGACCAAGATCGAAGTGGCATTTGATCAAAGTTTACTTCCCTAGTAACACACGACGTCCTATGGACGTCCAATATACGTCCAGTTTTGGTCCGGACGTCCCTGGACGTAAAATGGACGTACTATGGACCTCCGAAGTGAGACGTACTTTGGGTGGATTAAATATGGACGTTCTCTGGACGTCCGTTCCCGGACGTTCCATGGACGTCCATACTCGGACGTCCAGGGAACTCCGACGTTTCCTGGACATCTGACATTTACCAATTATGGGATCAAATAGCAAATATTTTAATAAAATAAAAATATTTTATTTTAAATAAAATAATTAAAAGCGAAAAGGTTAAATCATGATTAATTAAAAATTGTATAGTTTAATATATCCAAAACATGTTTTTGTTTAAGGTAAAGTGTAAAAATATTTTATTTCTAGATAATTCGTTACAATTGTTTTATTATTCTGTTATCACGATGATATATGTTTGCTAATTATAATAAGAAAAAATATGATTTTTATCAACAAGATGAATCTTGAAATCATTTTTCAAAGATGAACAAGTGGTAGTATATACTCTGGCTGAACAAAATCTGTATATACTATATTATTTATCTATGGAACAAAATATAATAATGATAATGTCATTGTCTGCCATATCATACCTATTTAAACAAATGGCACAGTTTAATTATATTTATATTATTAATGCTTTAATAAATGAAATAAAAGAATTCTATTTAAGCAGTATACAGTGCATTGGTTTTTTGATGCTTGGCGTTGTATTGTGGTTATTGTATATTGTTAAAGGTTTGGTACCACGTGTTAGGTTATACTTCAGAAATTGGTTTTATTTTAAAGGTAAGTGTAATTTTTACTTATTAATTATGTTTAAAAGAAAACGATTTGTTTCTAAGCGTTATCAACAGATTAGAGAATATTGTTGAAAATATTAATAACCTCGATATTCCATCTCCTTCAAACTTTTATTCGGAATCCCTGACTGATCATTCATTTCAAATAGTTCAGGTTACAATACTTCCGATTTAAACTTTTTATTAACATGTTAAGTACCTAAAATAATGCAAATTACCACGTGGACGACCATTCCGATGATCCTTTACAAAGCTCTTCTTTCAATGAAACTGAAGAAATGTCTAAACATGGTTGTAACGAGAATTCTGGAGAACCTTATCGAGATGTTTTTAATTTTTCTAATAAGTTATTCAACTGGACTTTGTCCTTTAATACTAGGTGATTTATTCTTCTTCTTATGGTGCCCTATCTAATTAGTGGATGTTAACAACAATTATGGCATACTCCTCTCGATCTTGTGTGGCTCTAAAAAGTGCATGTGGAATCGTGGTTTGTCCTATCCCTTATGTAGGTGATTTATTAAAAATTCATAAAGAAGTTCCTGACTTTTCTCATTTGAGTTCAAATGCTAGTACCCTTCTTGCTTCGCTTCACCCAGAGAACAAATACTCTGATCCATATGATTCAAATTTCAATGGTATTTTTCTCTTCACAAAAAAACAATGTTATAGAAATTTGTGTACATTTTGATGGAATCCCACTAAAAAAAGAGTTTTAGTAGTCAGCCATATCCTATCTTGTTTATATATCCTAAAATTGTAGATTTAATAGGCATTTACCATGGTTATGAGAAACCAAAATTTGCAAATGAATGTTTGATTGATTTTGTAACAGAGGCTGTTTTTTTATTAGATAGTTTAAGCTAAAATAATTAAGCATGGATGATCAAGTTTGTGGGGTAGTTAGATTACTGTTACATGTTGATTTATATTTTAGGATAATGAGCTTTCCAAAATTGGTGAGGAGACCATAAATGAATTTGTTAGGAGAAGCCATAAGAAGCTGATCTGGAATAAAATTCAAGGAAAAGATAGTTGGCTAGGGAAAAAGCAATATAAAGTTTTTGAGGACACACATATAGCTCTGATTTTAAAAGGTTTGCAACTTATAAACATAAATCAATTTAAGGTGCATTTAAGAATTTACACTATCACTTAAGTGGCCACATACAGCTGATTAAGCATATTGTTAACTGTGTCTTATATGTAATTTAGATGGTAAATTTTACCAATTCATAAATTTTCAGGTCTGGCTATGAGATTGCTTTAAGAACTACAGCTAGCTTATGAGATAAAGGTTTGTTGTTGGCCATATATTTTATTTATACAGTTATTTTTATTTTTTACGTATAAAAGTGTAATTACTGCTCATTTGGTCATTAGAAATAAATACCAATGGTTGGGTTGGTATTCTTCTAATTCAGGTGAGATTCATTAAAACTACAGCACTTGAAATTCGTGTGTTTAATTTTACTTTGAATTATGATTTATTCACAAGAAGCAAAGTATAATGAACTAAATCTGAAATTAGTTTATTCAATTTATGAATGTACATTAATTTTGTTTTCAGATGTTGCTTGGAAAAACTCCAAAACCAGCGTTGCCATGGGGAAGGAAGTTGAAACTTGATAATGAAATATCTGAGGAAATATTTAAAGAGAGGGCAGATAAAATTTAACTTGCATGTTGCATTAGCAAATATGATTAATTTTGTAATGATTAAATTGTGTAGTTCATGGACACAAAGGAACAGTCCAATTTTTGAGACTGTTTTATATATTAAAAATAAATACCTAAAAATTAATCTACTGTTGAAAGAAAACAGACAAAGTTCCATATTAGGTATTGATCTTTTTCATACTTATGATTTCAACTTTAAAATTCAACAATTGACTTGTCTGCTTTTAATTGCTGACCACACAATTGTAAGGGAAATCAGAATGGGAAGGGATAAGGGAAGTTGAATGGTTCTGTTTTTAAGAACCACAATTTCAACAATTTTGTCAATTTCTTTAGCAGTATTCACAATCCTTCTTTCTCTTGTGTAGACAAGTGTAGTCAAAGATCCCATATCAGTAACAGCCATATTCACTCTTTTAACTGTTAAAATTTGTGACGCATGCTTACAGTGTCTTAATACCAATAAAGGTCTTCATCATCATCAATCAGCCAATCGCGTCCACTGCTGGACATAGGCCTCCCTCAGTTCTTTCCAGTGTTCTCTACACTGGGCCGCTTGTATCCAGTTTCCCGCTACATGTTTAATGTCATCGGTCCATCTAGTCAGTGGTCGTCCTCGGCTTCTTTTATAATTTCTGGGCCTCCATTCCATAATACGTCTTGTCCACCGTCCATCTTGTGTTCTGACTAAGTACCCTGCCCAGTTTCACTTAAGCGTCGTGGTTTTTTCGATGACGTCTTGAACTCCTGATCTTCGCCTGATTTGTTGGTTTGTTATGTGGTCTCGAAGGCTCACGTTCAGCATTGCACGTTCCATGGCTCGTTGTGTAACTCTTAGTTTATTCGCAGATTTTTGCGTGAGTGTTAAAGTCTCTGCTCCATAAGTTTTTACAGGTAAAACACATTGGTTATAAACCTTTCGCTTGAGACACATGGGAATTGAACTTTTTAGAATATGGCTTAATTTGCCAAATGCTGCCCATGTTAGACCTATTGGCCTCTGTATTTCATGTGTTTGATTGTCTCTGCTTATTTTGATTTCGTGTCCCAGATATTTGTAAGTGTCTGTTTGTTGTATGGTATTATTGTCAATAGTTATATTTCCACTCATTACGAGATTTGTTATAATTTTAGTTTTCTCAAAGTTTATGTTTAATCCTGCTCTTTCAGACAGACTTTTAAGCGAATGCATCATAGAAACTGTATCTTGTAAGTTATCTGCGATTAACATCTGCAAACCTTAGGTGATTTAATCTTTCTCCATCTATATTGATGCCCATATTTTGCCATTGAGTACCCTTAAATATTGACTCTAGAGCTGCCGTGAACAATTTTGGTGAAATATTGTCTCCTTGTCTAACTCCTCGACCTAAGCTGAATTTTTCTGTGTCTTCGTGCAGTCGTATACTTGATGTAGCGTTCTGATAGATGTTTTTGATTAGTGTCGTCTACCTGTAATCTATTCGGCTTTGATTAAGGTTAAGGTTAAGGTTTAGGTTTAGGTTATAATAAAGGTCTTGGTCCAGACATAATATCTTAACTTATTTTTAGGGAATTGTGCATTCTTTTTATGTAGGCATCTATGGCTTATTTTTTATAAATCTCTGACTGAGGGTCACTTTTCATCACAATTTATTTATTGATTTTATCCTTAACTCATTGATTCGTAATTATCGTTCCATTATAATTCTTTCTGCTATTCCTAAAATTGTCGAGGCTTTACTGACTGATTTTTTGACAGTAAATTTGAAGAATCAGCTTCATACTGGTCAGCGTGGTTTACTTACTGTCTAGTCGTTCAACTTCAACTAATTTATACTGATTATGTTATAATTGCATTAAAAACCGTTTTTATGTTGATTAGATTTATACTGACTCATCTACAAGCATCAAATGTTCTTGTAAATTGTGTAGACCATATTCTTATTCTGATATGATCAATTTCTTGAATCTGGATTCTCTTATCAAAAGTGTTACCTTTTAATCTTTATTTTTCAACTTGTTTATAAAATAACCAATCTACTGAATTTCTTCAGCTAGTTTGTTTTCATATTCCTTCCCATTCACTGTGTCAGAATTTATATTTCCATGTTCCTTACCACAGAACTAATTATGTTTCACACAGAGATGGTCTAAAACTTTCATATCAATAGCTTTAGGCTTTAGGTACTATTTGAAGCACTTAAATGCTAAATGAAACTTATTATAAAATGTGTACTTATTTATTTTATTCATGTATATTTTATTTTATCTGTAATTTTGTCTATTTTTCTATAATGTTGCATTTTTGCATAATTTTGACAGTGAATTTGTCCCGTTTGTTAATAATAAATAAATGTAATAATAAATGTAAGTTTCTTTAAACATTTAAGTTTTATTTCCCAAAATACATTCTTAATATGCACAGGATGACACCACTTTTAGTACTTTATGCAATGGCGTTGACGTCTAATTTACATCCTGAGCGCTAAAATAGATGTCCGAAAATATCACAAAAGTCCGTCAAGTAAGTTCTCTGGACGTATTATGGACGTCCGATTAAGGTCCAATTAACGTCCCGGTACGTCCATTTTACGTCCCATTTTACGTCCGCTCGGGACGTAAAATGGACGTCCATAGGACGTTTGGCGCAGCGACATTCGGACCAATATAGGACGTAAATAGGACCAAAGCGGACGTTCGAGGGACGTCCCTAAAGTCCGCGAGGGACGTACTATGGACGTCCACTGGACGTACATGTGCTATTAGGGTTAATAAAAGTAAACGTAAAACTATATTAAGTAAAAGTAAAAGTAAATAGTAATGGCATGTCTCGCAAAACCAAAAACCAAAAATGGTATGTAGGTGGAAGGCAACCGTATATACGTATTTCTGACTATTGGTGGTCTTCAATACGGTGCAGCCAAGTTAGAAAAGGAGCATATTAACTTGGGAAAGAATCACTACAGGAGCAATGCAACCAATTTGTTCTATCCTTTCCCAAGTTAATATGCTCATTTTCTAATGCACCTGGCTGCACCGTACTGAAGACAACCAACAGTCAGAAAAACGTATGTACGGTAGTCTTCCATCTATAAACCATTTTTGGATTTTTGTTTTGCGAGACAAAATTTCATACCTGTATCTATCCTATTACCAGCCATACTGTAATATAGCATTTCCTCAACTCGTCTCAACCTCTTCTCCATAAAATCGACCTTATAGACCAATTTTTCTATGGCTCCTAATAGATAAAGATCAGTTTCAGAAACCTGTCTCTGTCCCGTTATAGACGGTTTTACTCTTGGTGGAACTGTAGGCTGTATGTTGTTATTCATGATTTTTACAGGCTTTAGGGGAGTATATGGCGAGTTGTTAACAATTTTTCCTGGTATCACTTTACTCTCTGCTGGCGGGGTTAGATTGGTTAACCTATCTTCGGCAACGAAAGAGTTTGGCGATATTGGTATCAGCATTACTCTACTTTGTCTGAAACATTATTCTATTAATAAGAATATTTATACTATTCCATTGAAAATGTACCACCCGATAAAGCAGCAATTAATACATTTTTAGTAGCTGTGGCCATTTTAAAATTCTAAAACATTTCGCAGCTCCTTAAAATTGGTTAATTACTATTAAACTGGGAATAAGCCACAATTAAAGATAAAAATACGTTTATTGACGTTTCAATTTCCACTTCGGAAATCGTTCTTAAAATACAAACAGTAAATTAAACAAATTTTGTTTTTTGTTACATAGTGAAAAAATTCTTCTAATAATTTAATTTTATCTGACTCATTTATATTGACAATTCAGACATACATTATGCATTTTAAAGTAGACGACTTTAAAATGATATTGCCAATATTGTTGAGTTGCGCTCCTGGGACCACTTTACTTATAAGATAGTTCATTCGATTACATGAAATCAACTTTAACTTGAGAATATCCGTCAGAAAAAAATCATAGCATGTAATTCGTCTTTAAAAAGACAAACACATGACATGATGACAGTAAAATTCTCCTGTTAGTGATTCCATAGTAAATTATGAGGGAAAACCAGGAAAAAAACCTCATAATACTATCCCGACATTGTAAGTATTTGTTCGTGAATTTAGTTTACCTTCAACAAACACGTTACGTTATTTAAAAAACATAAATGATGTATCCGCTATATGTTACTGACTTACTAATACTGGTATTTTCTTATTAATAACTTCCTCTTTCAATATTGGTAACCAGATCCTACTACATTCTGCCGAGGAATTTGCGACACAATTGGCCTCATTTAGCATAATTAGAGCCGCTTCTTTGATTTTTCTTTTTTTACCATCCGTTTCTTTTAGGACTACATTTGAATTATTGAATTATTCCATTGAACCCTATGTTCATTATCCCATGCGTGTTTACAGATTTGAGATCTATCAAATTCTTTATTTTTAATATAAGATTGATGTTCACTTATTCTAACATTTAATGGCCTTGATGATTCACCTAAATAAAACTGATCGCATTCACAAGGTATTTTATAAATGCAATTCTTTGTCCTTTCTTGTTCATTGTTAGGTTTGGTTTTGGACAAAATAGATCTCAACGTGTTTGTTGTTTTGAATGTTGTTGAAATGTTGAATTCATTTCCTATCCTTTTAAGTTTTTCTGATAGTCCTTTTATGTACGGTATTGTCATTTTCCTCATATTATTCCTTGTGTATGCTGTAGGATCTCGTTCTGAGTTGTTCTGTTCTATTCGATCGATTGTTGAAAATTCCTTATTTATAAACGATAAAGGATAATCATTTTTTAATAAAACAGATGTTAACAAATATTTCTCCTCCACGAATGAATTTTCATTAGAACAAGTAATTTTGGCTCTATCGTATAAGGATTTAATTATTCCCTTTTTTACATCAATATTGTGATTTGATTTGAAATTTAAATATCTATTGTTGTGTGTTGGTTTTCTATACACCTGAGTCTCATATCCAGTATCGTTCTTAGAGATTAAAACATCCAGGAAAGGTAGCGTGTTATTATATTCCTTTTCCATGGTAAATGTTATTGTCTCTTCTTTATCGTTTATATCATTTAGGAATGTGTCCAACAACTCTGATCCATGAGGCCATATTGAGAATACATCATCTACATACCTCCACCATACTGTGGGTTTGAAATTTTGTTTAGAAATGATATTTGTTTCAAAATCTTCTATAAATATATCGGCTAAGAATGGAGATAAACTAGAGCCCATTGCTAGACCAAAATTTTGTTTATAGAATTTATTATTTAGTTGAAAATATGTATTATCAGTACATAATGTTAATAACTCCATTATAGCCTAATTACTATTTATAACTGGGAATAAGCCACAATTAAAGATAAAAATACGTTTATTGACGTTTCAATTTATAATTCGGAATTCGTTCTCAAAATACAAACAGTAAATTAAACAAATTTTGTTTTTTTGTTACATAGTGAAAAAAATTCTTCTAATAATTTAATTTTATCTGACTCATTTATATTGACAATTCAGACATACATGATCCATTTTAAAGTAGACGACTTTAAAATGATATTGCCAATATTGTTGAGTTGCGCTCCTGGGACGACTTTATTTATAAGATAGTTCATTCGATTACATGAAATCAACTTTAACTTGAGAATATCCGTCAGAAAAAATCATACCATGTAATTCGTCTTTAAAAAGACAAACACATGACATGATGACAGTAAAATTCTCCTGTTAGTGATTCCATAGTAAATTATGAGGGAAAAACCAGGAAAAAAACCTCATAATACTATCCCGACATTGTAAGTATTTGTTCGTGAATTTAGTTTACCTTCAACAAACATCAAAATTCTGATTTTATATGTTACGTTATTTAAAAAACATAAATGATGTATCCGCTATATGTTACTGACTTACTAATACTGGTATTTTCTTATTAATAACTTCCTCTTTCAATATTGGTAACCAGATCCTACTACATTCTGCCGAGGAATTTGCGACACAATTGGCCTCATTTAGCATAATTAGAGCCGCTTCTTTGATTTTTCTTTTTTTGCCATCCGTTTCTTTTAGGACTATATTTGAATTATTCCATTGAACCCAATGTTCATTATCCCATGCGTGTTTACATATTTGAGATCTATCAAATTCTCTATTTTTAATATAAGATTGATGTTCACTTATTCTAACATTTAATGGCCTTGATGATTCACCTAAATAAAACTGATCGCATTCACAAGGTATTTTATAAATGCAATTCTTTGTCCTTTCTTGTTCATTGTTAGGTTAGGTTCATTGTTAGGTTATTCTATACAACTGGTGATTCTATATCAATAATAATCACCGGACGAGAAATGAAGCTTCCTCAAGACCTTATTTTTGGAAGTTTGTATCCCTGCGAATAACGTTCATACATGGCGTACATTGAAAATTTGAAAGAAAAATTGGAAAAAGTCTACGAATTTGCTTGTAAAAGTTTGAAACTTCAAAACGATAAAGCCAAGGCCAGACTCGACATGCATGCTATTGGTACAATTTTCGAAAAAGGTACTAAATATGGTTATACAATCCCACACGTAAGAAAGGACTTTGTCCGAAACTTCAACGAAACTGGGAAGACCAGTACACCGTCCTGCAGAAAACCAAAGATCTAATCTACCGCATCCAGTTTTCAGCTAGAACTAAACCCAAGGTAGTTCATATCGAGAGACTAGCTCCATACCATGGAACTGATCCACCCTGTTAGCTTCAAGGACCGACCAGTGATTGTCTAGTTTTTCGAGGCCTCCTCCTCCTAAGTGCCTTCTCTATTGAGGTTGGCGATCAATATGGCAAATTTCTCTCTGTTCTGGGCTTGATGGATTAAGTCATTTTCTGTTGTGTGAGTCCAATCTATGATGTTTCGGAGCCAGGATTTCTTCTTTCTTCCTATACCCTTTTTACCCTCGATTTTGCGTTCTAATATTACCTGGAGCTGCTCAAATTCCTTATGGCGCATTATGTGTCCTAGATATGACGTCTTTCTAATTTTGATTGTATTAACCATATGAGGTCGTGTGTTCATTATTTTCAGTACCTCTTCATTTGTAGTTTTGCTGGTCCAGCTTATTCTTAGCATTCGGCGGTACATCCACATTTCGAATAAATTCAGTTTGTTGACGTCATACTGTTTTAATATCCAGGTCTCACAGCCATGTAGTAGTAGAGACCACACATCACTTTAGTGTTCTTAACCTTATTGTGATTGATAGCTTGGGGTTACAGAGCATTTTACGCATGTTCATGAAGCCAGATCTTGCTATTTCAATACGTCTTTTAATTTCTTTTGAGTGGTCTAGCTGACTGTTTAGCTCTCTGCCCAGGTATATGAAGCTTTGGGAGCTCTGAAGGGTGAACTTTTCGAGGCGAATAACTATAAAAGAGGGAACAGTGTTACTAAAGTTTCGTAAGATTTATCCTACATAGAAAAGGTCCCTTAACGAAAAAGAAGAAGTAGTTCGAGAAAGTTCGAACTACTTCTACAACTATAACAGATGTTTGTGATAGTTTAGAACAATAGTATTTTCTACTATTATATTATTTATCTATGAATAGTATTTTGAATTTTGAAGTTTATAATTGTCATTGTATTAAAAATTGTAAACAAGTTAGTGTTGAATAATAGTATATTACATAACGAGAGTTGTAAGAAGCTTATTACATGCGAGTAAAAAAGTTGCGCGCGAGCCGCGTAGCGGCGAGCGTAGTAATTTTACAAGCATGTAATAAGCTTACAACTCAAGTTGTGTACTATACTTTTTCTACGATTATTATCGTTTACCTATAAAAATAAAAATTAAATTACCACTATATTTACACTGACAGATTAATAATTTGCAATCTGTCAAAATAACGTCTGTTAATTCGTTTCCATGGTAATTAGACCAACTGACTTACGAGGCTTATGTGATATTCATCGAGCAAAAAGACAAAAGAGGGAATCTAATGCTTATGAAAAGGAGACCAACAAAGTGGCCTCTAATGGCGGTCATATCCTGAAATGCGAATGCGCCAAATTTAAATTTTCCGACACTTATTAACAGTAGCTATTTATATTTTTCAGAATGTGTCTTAGACGAGAAAGTTTTAATTAATTATTAACGATAATAGTCTAAAATGCGACACAATTGTTAAAAACTTCAATACAAATAAGATTTCATGTGACATTTGGGACAAACAATAACATAACCCAACTAAATTTGATGTCAAACAAGGAGAGAGACTCTCTTTCCTTGTTTAAAGTGGCCTCTAAAGATCGCACTTCCTGTCTAACAATATTTTTGCCCCCACTACCTTTACATTCCCTCTTTTGCCTTTTTGCTCGATGGTGATATTACACATTTTTATAAAACTGAAGCGTAATTTTTTTTTTATTACGTGCTAGTCATTACGTGTCAGTATCTGTTATGATGCATTTACTTAGCATCCAAATAGTAGGTAA